GGTAAATTCAGGCCGGCGGGTCTGGCAGCGCAGCCGAGTCCCTGAGCTGGGTTTGGTTTCCGTCAACGAGTTTAGCCAATGTTTGAGTTGAAGATTGGCAGTCGGCGTCTGCTGCCTTTTTTTTTTTGCCTTTTTTTTCCCCCCGTTTTGACAAGCTGTCTGTTATGATAGAGTCCTGCAGGCAAACATGGTAAATTATCGCATCAAACACAAGGTCATTTTTTCATATTATTAACGGCTGCCATTATGGGTTTCTGACTGAGGTATATTATTCAAGAAAGCACCTTTTTCTCATGCCTGGGTTATTTCATAGCATAAAAAAGGCAAAGTGTTTCACAGCTCCCGCCCCAGCCCAGGTGAACAGCCCCTAGCAGTGCTGCGCACAGTTCTTGGTTGTGCCTTCTCCTACCCAAACCGCCACAAACCCATGCAAAATCCTGGTCCTTCTTTACCTCTTGACCCTCCCTTACTCTATCTCAGAGGTAAATCCCGTCTGGCAGATTCTCACCTGCACTGGAGCCCGCTTCTTTTAGTACCTAACAGGTTATTAAGGTTTGTGACATATGTTTTCTTCCCGCCCTTCTTCCCGTGTGTGTGAAAGTTTGTTGCTCCTATGCTCAAGAAGTTACTGGACTTAAATTCTTCTCCTGTTCTGTCACCTTTTCCTGGTAACTCAAATATATGAGCTATACTTCAGCAGCCGTCTCTTCCTTGTGGTCATTAGAGTGTAAATAGTGATTCTGTTGTATCTCTTATGTCACACTTTCCTTTTTTTGTGTGTAGACCACATGGATAATTATCTACAGATATCAGGACCCAGTGCTTATGAATTTCCCTTCAATATGTCCGTTTTGAGAACAATGCAAAGTGAACCTAGATTGTTTTCAGCTGTGTTGAGAACTGACCTCAAGGAAGTAACAACCTCTTTGTAACTCCCATTGCGCCATTACTAGTAGTTAGTGTACTGCAGCACAAAGAAACTTTTTATTTAACGAGTAATTTTGGGTGGGACTGCTTTACCTTCACTGGAAATGGAAAGTATATTTAATTGTGTGTTTCGTGATTGTTTTTTTTTTAAGTACCGTTAACAAAGGAGCATAGGGCTGCTGATGCAAACTTTAGATTAAGATTTCAAATTCAGTTTGATCTCTAATAAAGTACTCAGTGCTTCCTTATCAGTTCTAAGGGAGGCAATTTGCGGTGGTTGTGTTATTAATGTCTAAAGTCTGCTGAAAGAGTCATTGTCAAGCTGTTGAGTTTTAAAACCAAGATGCTACAAAAGAGAAATACTAATGTCTGTTACCTTGTTTAATTTTAGTGAAACCTTTTTTTCCTTTCGGAATTAATACATTTTCCTTGTAGCACTTTAAATCTGTTCAACCTGCAAACATAAGAATAGGAAACTAACCTATTTTCATCATTCAGGCCTTGCTTTTTAAAAATGATTTGAATATGGTAGTATCTTTTATAGTTGCCACCTCCATATCTAGGGTGAAATGTTTTCAGTTTGTTATTTCCTTATTTTTAACAATAACCATGTCCCTTTGACATGTCACAGAGGACAACGTTTGTGGCTTTTTTTTTTCTATTTGCCTTGGTTGCAATAACTACTTAATAGTGTTCAAACCAGAAAAAAAAAAAAAAAAAGAAGTCTTGTTATCTAGATTGGTAAAAGCCTTTCATCATTTTACTACCTGTGTTCTTTTCCTGCTTCTTCACTCTCCTGCATGCATGTAACAAGTGAGGAACTAAACCATTAAACACGCAGCAGGAGGACTTGTAGGAGACCAGCTCTCCCACCTGAAAAAGCAGAAACAACAAACCTGATGCTCACGAACACAGAAAGAAAAAAGGAGGGCATGAGTTTTCAGGAATTTTAAAAGAAACGAAGAAGCAATGAAGTTAGCTTCATTTAAAGGTGGAGAAACCGAGGTTAAAGAGTTTTTCTTTCCAATGACTCTTGTGTTCTGCAATGATGTGTAAATGCAATAAGTCTTCTAAGGGCTGCAGACTTTTGTATAATTAGTACAGAATGGCAGGACCTTTTATTTACATAAGTGGTGAGACAGTGAGACAAAAGAGAAAGGAATACCATGTCTGCTACTCAAGACAGTCCACTTAATGAAAGGCAGCTTTCTAGCCAAGAAAATAGAATGATAGAACTACTTCCAGAGGAAAATTTCACCAATGTTGTACAATCTTAATTCTTAGTTTCCTTTTTCAGGACTTTATATCTTCTAGGGTATAGCTTATTGACTCTTTCTAGCATTTGGTGTTTAGTTAAACAAATGATTTTATATGCTTTTTTGAGAGATGCAGCAGGTTGTTTTGACCTAGTGTATCTCCTGATGCAGTCTCTGGTTCTTGCAGGCATTGATGGCGAGTACCCAACTGGGGTGTAGATTACACAAAATGTGAAGTTTTTCCAACCAGGTAATTGCTATGGTTTGCTTGTCTATTATAGCCCTCTAAGCCAAGTAATTATCTTGCATTGATTCTTCTAACAACAAAAAAAATATCACTGATTAATATTGTATTATGTGGTATTTTCCACCAGTGCACTTTCTTGGATGATGACTTGCTGTACTTGAAAAATTTAACTGGTAAAGAAAAAACTCTTACCAAAAACTTGGAAAACTGAATGGAGAGAGGTATGATCACTTTAACAGGCAAAATAATGATGTGCTGTTGCAACCTAGAAGTTAATATTCTGGTTAGATCTTCCTCATAACTAATGTAGAACAATTAATATTTTTAATCTATAGGTAGAAGGGTTTTCTATAGAAGGTATAGATCATGTGGATACCCTGAAAAGACTGTTTTGTGGTTTGTTCCTACCCTTCCATTTTCCTTCACTCAAAAACTCGAAGTGCAAAACTCAGGGCAAGCGGTTACATTGACTACCACATGATTGTCCCAGAAGATTTTTATATTGCCTTTCCTTTTTTCCCAAGAGGGACAGAGCTTTAGAAAACAATGAGTATGTGAGTAGCAAGTAACTTGCTTTCAAATGGG